TTTCTTTCTTTCTTTCTTTCTTTCTTTCTTTCTTTCTTTCTTTCTTTTTTGGTTTTTCAAGACAGGGTTTCTCTGTATAGCCCTGGCTGTCCTGGAACTCATTCTGTAAACCAGGCTGGCCTCTAACTCAGAAGTCTGCCTGCCTCTGCCTTCCAAGTGCTGGGATTAAAAGTGTGCGCCACCACCGCCCAGCTTGGACATTTCTTTCTTTATTCAGCTACTAAATATAAATACTTAAAAATTGTATAGCAAAGGATAGTGTCTATATTTAAAATGCCAGCACTTGGGAGGCTGAGGCAGGAGAACTATTATGAGTTCAAGGCTAGTCTGGGCTACTCAGTGAAACCCAATCTCAAAGATATATAAGTAAAACTGGAGCTGGAGAGGTGGTTCAGCAGTTAAGAGCATTGGCTGCTCTCCCAGAGGACCTAGGTTCAATTCCCAGCAACCACATTGCAGTTCAAACTGTCTGTAACTCCAGTTCCAGGGGATCCAGCAAGCACCTGTTTATACAGACATAAATGCAGGCAAAACAGCAATGCACATGAAATTAAAAATAAATACATTTAAAAAATAAAACAGAATGTACATTTGTAATTTCAGCTCTGGGGACATGGAGGCAGGAGATTCAGAGTTCAAAGCCAGCCTGGGCTAAAAAATGGCATCCTGTCTGCCCTAATTAAAGAATCAGTCAAATAATAAATATTAAAGATTTTTATTAACTTTATGTATATGGGTGTTTTGTCTTCATGGTTCTGGTGCCTGTGGAGGCCAGAAGAGGGTATTGGATCCCCTGGAACTGGAGTTACAGACATTCATTTCCATACTCATACCAGTTCTAGGAATTGAACCTGGGTCCTCTGAAAGAGCAGCCAGTGCTGTAACCATTGATCCATCTCAACAGCACCAATAAGAAATAACTTCATTTTTCAAAATTAACTTATGTGTGCATGTGGAGGTTAGTGGGCAAGCTGGAGGAGTAAGTTTTCTACTACCATGTGAGCACCAGGGATGGAACTTAGGCTGCCAGAACTGCAAATGCACCTTTACCAGCTGAGCCATCTTGATAGTTCAAGGAAATAGCTTTCTCTCATAAATACTGTATGCAGCAAATAACTATGTCTTACCATGAAAAATATATACAGACTGTGTGAGGAATGCGAAGAGGACACTCTGGGCATTCCAACACTCCAACAGCCTCAGATGAATGCCACACCTCTCCTCACAAAAAAGTGACCACACAGAGAGAGGACGGAGGACGGAGGAGTGTGTGCAGCTGGAGCACCTCAGCGGCCTCTTGCAGGCTTCATATAGAAGAGAATCAGTTTCTGCAAGTCGTCCTCCGACCTCTGCACAAGCACACACACAAATTAATGTACACAAAGCCCTGCGTGGTGTCACAGTCTTTAATCTCAGCACGCAGGAGACAGAGGCAGAGGCAGGAGGGTCTCTGTGTGTTCAAGGCCAGCCAGGGCTAGGTAATGAGGCCTGTCTCAAAAAAAAAGAAAAAAAAAAAGTCACAAGGCTGGAGTGATGGTTCAGAAGTTAAGAGTACTTGCTGCTCTTGCAGAGGACCAGAGTTCAATTCCCCCATCCACATGGTGGCTAACAAGCACCTGTAACTTTAGGGGACACTGCATGCCCACGGTGCACAGACATACATGCAGGCAAAACACGCACACGCATAAAATAAAATACAACTTGAAATAAAAACATTAAAAAGTTCTTTTACAAGAAGATAAATATCTCAACCAGGTAGATGGGGCTTGCTGGACCGTGCAGGGTGTGGGAGGGTCCGCCCGTGCAGGTTCAGCTGGAGGCGTACTGGACAGCCTAACCCGGAGGCAGGCTCCTAGGGCCGCCCAGACCCACGCCCTGCTCCCTCCGCCCGGCACCTGCAGGAAGGACTGGAACCGCCTCTGCGTGCCCGCCGCCCGTTTCCGCCCTCCCGCTCCTCCCACGCGTGCCGCCCGGGACCCCGCAGCACCGCGGCGCCGATCCGAGGCCCCCCCTGGTCCTCCTCGGCTCCTCCCGGAAGCGCGGCGCGTGGCGGCCCGGCGGCGCGGATTGGACGCGTGGCACCAACAGAGACACCCGGGGGGGGGTGGGACGGAGGTGAGCGGGCGCCCGCGGAGGATGCGGTGGGGAACCAGCTCCGGGCGCCGTCCGCGGTCGCGCGTGGGGCCGTGCACGCGGTGGTGGCGGGGGGAAGCGCGTGGTCCCCTCAAGCGCGCACCCTGCCGCCCAGCCCTTGCGCCCGCACAGGGTGGTGGCCCCGGCGAGTAGAGGGTAGGGGTCGCCCGCGGCCGGCGCCCCGGGACTCTTATTGTGACAGGGTGGCGCGCAGTGCTTAGTCACCGTGACCCGCGCGGCGGAGGCGGAGGCAGAGCGCGGCCATGGCGGGGTGAGTGCGCCGCTCCAGGCCGCGGCCCGGGACCAGGCCCTGCGGGCTCTCCAGGCATCAGGGCTGCGCCTCGGAGCGGCGGGGAGGCCGCTGGAGCAGGCACCGGGTACCGGGCGGCCGCTGCACAGCCTCCTGCGCAATGCCAGACCCGAGCTCCGGCAGTGTGGTCACGCGTGACAGTCGTTCACTTACTGGGGCCCCTGGAGCATTTCATCCCCCCACGGTGATCTAATAGACATAACACGCGGGGATGCGACTCCAGGCTGAGCCCCAGGACCTGGGGAGCCAGCTGCAGACCCTCTTTGTCTCCCCCCATCTCCTTTGAAAGCATAACTGTTCCCCTGACCCCAGGTCTCCAAGGGTCTCCTGAATCCTTCCCCGTGGGTGCTCCAGATGCTGCACACCCCAGGACCTCGGTGCTCGCTTAGTGTTTTCTATACAGACCTTGCTTTATTTTCAGGCCTTTTGTGTCTTCCTGCTGTGTTCCTGGAGCTCAGAACAGTTCCAAGTGCATAAATGGCAGGCTCTGTAAATTTTGGTGAGGTGTTGAAGAAAGGAATTTGACATGTTGGATGAAGGGAAGGATGGCGGGAACAGTGAGGAGGTTGGGAAGGGGGTGTGGAGTTTTACAGGCCATTGAGGAGCTGGGTTTCCATTCTTGGGCTCGGTGAAAGGTGTTCGGTGATTTTGAGCAGGAAAAGGAACATGATATGTCCTGAAGGCCCGGAGTTGAGGAGAAGTTAGTTTGAATGGAACCGGGTGTGTCCAGTTTACTTGGCTTGGCAAAAAAACGGCTCTAGAAATCATTGTTTACTCTTGCAAAGAGAAGTCTGGTTGAACATGTGGCAGATACTTTAATCCCAGCCCACGGGAGGATGAGAAGTTCAGGAGCCAGCCCTGGCTATCTAAGACCCTGTCTCAGAAAAAAAAAAAAAGTGGCAGGATTTGGCCTAACCCAGCCTCTGTTCCCAGCCCTGTACTCTTCCCTCCATCCAGGCCCCTAACCGCTATTGGAGGAACTGTATCTTGTCATCAGGAACCCCATGCAGCCCGAACCCAAGCCTAGCGGGGCTCCCCGCAGCAGCCAGTTCCTGCCCCTGTGGTCAAAGTGCCCCGAGGGGGCAGGGGACACGGTGATGTACGCCTCCACGGAGTGTAAGGCAGAGGTGACACCCTCACAGGACGGTAACCGAACCTTCAGCTACACACTAGAGGATCACACCAAGCAGGCTTTTGGCATCATGAACGAGCTTCGGCTGAGCCAGCAGCTCTGTGACGTGACCCTGCAGGTCAAATATGAGGACATCCCAGCTGCCCAATTCATGGCTCACAAAGTGGTGCTGGCCTCCTCCAGCCCAGTCTTTAAAGCCATGTTTACCAACGGGCTTCGGGAGCAGGGCATGGAGGTGGTGTCCATTGAAGGCATCCACCCTAAGGTCATGGAAAGGCTTATTGAGTTCGCGTACACGGCCTCCATCTCCGTGGGCGAGAAGTGTGTGTTGCATGTAATGAACGGGGCGGTCATGTACCAGATCGACAGTGTGGTCCGAGCCTGCAGCGATTTCCTCGTGCAGCAGCTGGACCCCAGCAACGCCATTGGCATCGCCAACTTCGCTGAGCAGATCGGCTGCACTGAACTGCACCAGCGTGCCCGGGAGTATATCTACATGCACTTCGGGGAGGTGAGTGAGGCCTGCGGTTTGGGTTCAATTGTCACAAGAAGTGGGATAGGCCAGCATGGGGCTCTTCATTCAAGGCTGGGGGAAAACTGGAGGGTTTTTTTTTTTTATCCTTTTCTCCCGTAGGGTCTCATGTAGGTCAGGTTGCCCCTAATCTGGTTTTGTATCTGAGGATGACTTTAAAGTCTTGATTCCTATCTCAGTCTGCTGTAGTTACAGATGTTCACCCTCCCAATACTTAAGAGGTACTGGGAATGGAAGCCAGGGCTCTGGGCTCTGCCAGCAGAGCCCCAGGACTTGGTTTTACTTTTGTTTTTAAATCTTTTTTTAAAAATGTATTTACCTTTATTGTAAGTGGATTGGTGTTTTGCCTTAATGTATATCGGTGTGAAAGTGTCAGATCTTGGAGTTACAGATTGTGTTACACTTGTGAGCTGCTATGTGGGTGCTGGGATTTGAACTCAGATCCTCTGGAAGAGCAGCCAGTAGCACCCTCAACTGCTGAGGCATGTCTGCAGCACCTTTGATTTTGTTTATTTATTTTCTTTGACAGTCTTCTTTAGCTGAAGTGTTTTTGTTTTATTTATTTTTGTTTTTTGAGACAGGGTTTCTCTGTGTAACAGTCCTGTCTGTCCTGGACCTCAATTTGTAGACTGGCCTGGCCTTGAACTCACAGAGATCTGCCTGCCTCTGGGATTAAAGGCATGTGCCATCACACCTGGCTATTGAAGCTGCTTTTTTGTTTTGTTTTGCTTTTGTTTTTTTAAGTCCTGTATTTGCTGTCACATTCTGAGTGCTGAGATCACAGGCAAGTAACACCACACTCTGAAAAAGTGTAAAAAAAAAATTACATGTATTGTATGTGTATACATGTACTGATCTTGTGTGTGAGTCAGACAACAAATTTCAGGAGCTGGCTCTCTCTTGCTACCTTATATATGTTTCTAGGTTAAACTTAGGTGGGCCTGGCAGAAAGTGACTTTACAGCCGGGCGGTGATGGCCCACGCCTTTAATCCCAGCACTTGGGAGGCAGAGGCAGGCGGATTTTTGAGTTCAAGGCCAGCCTGGTCTACAGAGTGAGAGTTCCAGGACAGCCAGGGCTATACAGAGAAACCCTGCCTCGAAAAACCAAAAAAAAAAAAGAAAGTGACTTTACCCACAAAGCCACATTGCCGAGCTGAATACTCAGACTCTGAGCCCCTAATCCAAATACAGAGAGGCTTTAGGAACAGGTGAAGATATGCCCTCCAGCACCTCAGCAGCCTGGTTTCTCTGGGGTTAAAAGTTGTGATGGCCAGCCTGGGCTACACAGTGAGACTCTGTCTAAAAAAAAAAAAAGTGTGTGTGTGTGTGTGTGTGTGTGTGTGTGTGTGTGTTGGTGGTGATGTATGCCTTTAATCCCAGCACTCAGGAGGCAGAGGCAGGCAGATCTCTGTGTTCAAGGCCAGCCTGATCTATAGAGGTAATCCCAAGATAGCCAGGGCTACACAGAAAAACCCTGTCTTGATACCCCCCCCTCCCAAGCAGGGGCAAAATCTGATGGACAGGCAGTCAATAGTACCCACCAACCTTACACATGCAGTCTCCAGCTTTGCTGGGCTTTTCCTGGGTTCACATGGTATTGCTTTCATTTTCATTTCTCAGTGCAGGAAGTCCTCAAGGGAAAGTAATAGAACAGTTCTCGGGGAAAGCCTTGGCTCTCGGGTGCCAGTGACTAGAAAAGTCCCCTGGACATGACTGCATTCTGAATATCACCAACCCAAACCCCAAGTCTGAAATGCTCCAAAGCTTTTGAATGCCACTTGTCACCCTCAGGTGGACAGCTCCGCACCTGACCTAACAGGATGGCTGGTCACACACACAGTGACCGCACAGGCATCTTACCATAGTGCATAACATCTCCAGAGGGCCGGGGGTGGGGTGGTCGGTAGAATACTTTCCCAGCATGCATGAAGTCCTGGATTCTATGCCTACCTCACATAAACCAAGTGTGGCTGTGCACACCTTTAATCCCAGTACCGGGTAGGCAAAGGCAGGCAGATCTGTGAGTTGGAGGCCAGCCTGCTCTATATAACAAGTTCCAGGCCAGTTACACACACACACACACACACACACACACACACAGAGCCTTGAAGCTATGTAAGGTCAATATGGACCAGCATAAATGTAGTTTGTTTATTTATTTTGATTTTTGAGACAGCAGGTTGTCATAGCCCGGGCTTTCATCTGAAACCCAAGATTCTCAAGTGTCAGGTTCCCAAGTGCTGAGACTTGACACGGGCCTTGGAGGCTCACTTAAAGTTCTGTTTATACCATACTCTCATTCCTGAGATGTCTCATCATTTGTATGAAATATTCCTACATCTGAAAAAAAAAGATGCCAAGCTGTAATACTGCCTGTCATATTTTATTTTTATTAATCTAAAATTTTTATTGTATTTATTTAGGGGGCAATGCATGTGTCACAGTTCATGTGAAGGTCAGAAGACAACTTGCAGAAGTTGATTCTTTCCTTCCACCGTAGGAGTCCTGGGGGCCAAACAAACAAACAACCCAGTGCCTTTCTGAGCTAGTCAAGGCAGTCACTGCCAAGCCAGAAGACCAGTCCCAGGGTTCCACAGGGTGGAAGGTGAGACCACACCCACTAGACACGAGCATTTCACACACATACATTACAAATCAATAAACAATTAAATGTAATTAAAAATACTTTTTAAAGAGAGGGTCTTACCGTGTAGAACAAGTGGCCTGGAACTCAGAGACATCTCCTGCCTCTCTTTTCCAAGTAGCCATTAATCCGATGCTGGGATTAAAGGCCAGACTAGGTTCAATTATTTGTTTATTTTGACACAGGATCTTACTACGTTGTCCTAGTTGGTCTAGAACTGGCTTATGTTGACCAGTCTGGCCTTGAATTCAGACATCCCCTTGCCTCTGCTTCGCGTGGGATGGGGTATTGATTATAGGAGTGTGCCGCTACACGTAGTTACATATTATTTTTAAAAATTAAAATCAAAATCAATACAGGCGCCTAAAGAGTCCACACTATGGCCTGTGTAATGCCTGGTGGGTGCTCGGCCAGGAGGGCTCCCGGTCTCACCTGAGCTCCCCGCAGGTGGCCAAGCAGGAGGAGTTCTTCAACCTGTCACACTGCCAGCTGGCCACGCTCATCAGCCGTGATGATCTGAACGTGCGCTGCGAGTCTGAGGTGTTTCATGCGTGCATCGACTGGGTCAAATACGACTGCCCGCAGCGGCGCTTCTACGTGCAGGCACTGCTGCGGGCCGTGCGCTGCCACGCGCTCACACCGCGCTTCCTGGAGACGCAGCTTCAAAAGTGCGAGATCCTGCAGGCCGACGCGCGCTGCAAGGATTACCTGGTGCAGATCTTCCAGGAGCTCACGCTGCACAAGCCCACGCAGGCGGTGCCCTGCCGCGCGCCCAAGGTGGGCCGCCTCATCTACACGGCAGGCGGTTACTTCCGACAGTCGCTCAGCTACCTGGAGGCCTACAACCCGAGCAATGGCTCCTGGCTGCGCCTGGCAGATCTACAGGTGCCGCGCAGCGGGCTGGCAGGCTGCGTGGTGGGTGGGCTGCTGTACGCTGTGGGCGGCCGCAACAACTCTCCAGACGGCAACACTGATTCCAACGCCCTGGACTGCTACAACCCCATGACCAACCAGTGGTCGCCCTGTGCCTCTATGAGCGTGCCGCGCAACCGCATTGGGGTGGGAGTCATAGATGGCCACATCTATGCAGTCGGAGGTTCCCACGGCTGCATCCACCACAGCAGCGTGGAGAGGTGAGCACGGCGGGGGAGGTCCCGAAAGGCCAGCACCTGTTCTTGTCCCTGCCTCCATATGAGATTGAGTGGAGGATGCTCATCCTCTGTCCAGAGTTGGGAAGTTCTGGAGGGGCTGTCCCAAACCTATAGGAATCACCTCTGCACACTGGGGACAGTAGGAGTTACTATCATACGTGAATTATGTTGTGCTGCTTATAATTACGTTAAAATGTGTCATCTGAACGGAGATGTAGTTCAGTGGTAGTGCTCTAGTCCCTTTCTAGAATCCATGGTTTAGATCTCATCCCCAGCACTGCCAAATGGCGGGGGGGGCCGGGGCCGGCCGTTCGCGCGGGGGCCCGGGAAAGGACTGGGAGTGTGCCTCAGCTGGCAGAGCAGCAGTGGTTGCCCAGCGTTCAGGAAGCCTTCATAACCTAGTGTGGCTGTACATACCAGCTGTCATCCTAGTGCTTGGCAGGTGCAGGTAGGAGGATCAGGAATTCAAGATTATCTTTGGCTGTATGGCAAGTTCAAGGCCAGCCTGGGATATAAGAGACCCTGTCTCAAGATAGAGAAACAATTCCCCTTCCCTCCTTACCCCCCTCCACACATACAGATTTAGGGCTTGGAGCAAGAGTAAGAAAATGAGAAAAGTTTAAATTTTGTATTTGTAGTGCTGGGAATAGAACCTAGGAACTTTGCATGCTAGGCCAGCCATTCACCTCTGAGCTAACCCCACCTGTAGCCTGAAAATGGAATTTTAAACAAATGCCCTAGGGGCCTCTAATGTGTGTGGTCTATGAATAGGATGGTGGGATGATGCCTCACCCTGAGCGGGCCGCTTTCAAGAAGGACAGGGACACTATTAATAACTCCAGGAACACAGGTATGGACTGGACGCTGCTGGGCCAACCGGGACGTGTTCACCCCATCTCTGGTCATGTTGCTTGGAGGAGAACCATCTGGGAGAACCAGTTAGACTTCTGGATTTGAACACCTGCCCAGATGTTACTTAGTGACCCTGGATGTCCTGCCCCCCGTTTCCGTAGCAAATCTTGTTGTGGTGTGAGACTGTGCATTCCCCTCGGGTTGAAGCGCACAGTGCCGCAGCCCTGCAGGATAAAGCTGCCTAGGCTTAAGGGAACTCCTGTTGCTTTCATAACTGATGACAGTGAGCCTCGGTTTCCTCCTCTGGAAATGGAGCTGCCCCTCCCCCTCACTCCTGCTGACCCCTCACTTCTTGAGAGAAGTGAAGAGATCAGAGCCAAGAGTGGGGCTGTGTGTCCTTCACCCCGGCACTGGGAGACCAAAGCAGGAGATCACGGAGAGGCCAAGGCTAGCTTGGACTATGTAGCAGGATTCTATCTCCAGAAAAACACTAAAAATAAAAAGTGCTAGTAGATGGTGGACCTTGGTGTAAGGAAGTCCAGCGTAGCCTGGTGACCATGGGGTATTATGTCCTTTGCAGATATGAGCCAGATCGGGACGAGTGGCACCTAGTCGCGCCAATGTTGACACGGAGGATCGGAGTGGGTGTGGCAGTGCTCAACCGCTTGCTGTATGCAGTGGGGGGCTTTGATGGGACTAACAGGCTTAACTCTGCAGAATGTTACTATCCTGAGAGGAATGAGTGGCGGATGATTACACCAATGAATACCATCCGAAGTGGGGCCGGTGAGTGGGGCATGGGGTAAAGACACATCCAGCCCAGTGAGGAAGGGCTTCCTTTATCTGCGCCCCTCCCTGTAGCCCAGGAGTCTACAAGCCTCCTCCCAGTTTGTTTTTGTTTTGAGTAAGGGTCATTCATACCTGAGGTTGACCTAGAAGTCCTTCTGTAGGTGAGGCTGACTTTGACCTCCTGATCCTCCTACCCTAGTTTCTCCAGTAGTGGAGGGAAGGGCGGTGGCTACTAAGGTCCCTTGTCCAGTGGCACCACTCCCCCCTAGACCAGCCTCACAGTGAGTCTCACTGTGTGCTTTCATTTAGGGGTCTGCGTGCTGCACAACTGTATCTATGCTGCAGGGGGCTACGATGGGCAGGACCAGCTAAACAGCGTGGAGCGCTACGACGTGGAGACAGAGGCCTGGACTTTCGTAGCCCCCATGAAGCATCGCCGGAGCGCGCTGGGGATTACTGTGCACCAGGGCAGGATCTACGTCCTCGGTGAGGCCCTTGGAGTCTGGGGCAGGGTGCAAACATCCTTAGGTGTCCATATCTTTTCTTTTTCAAGTTTTGGTGCTGAGTATAGAAGCCAGAGACTGCTGATTGTGTGGCACGTGTTCTTTAATTGTGCCACGCTCCACTGGGGGCTTCTGGGCTGCAGCAACTCTACCACTGAGCCCCTCCCCACCGCTCTTATTACACTTCCCGCCCTGCACCCCACCTTCACTGGGAAGTCTAGGCCAGAGCTCTACCACTGAGCCACATTCCATCCCCTCCCTATCCATCGCAAACAGGTGGCTTCTTTCCCTTCTGTTCTCTACCACCAGTTTCATTAGTGGTGGGCTGAGCCCTCTGAGGGGGGTGACCATTCTCTTCACTCTCCCTGCAGGAGGCTACGATGGCCACACTTTTCTGGACAGTGTGGAATGCTATGACCCAGACAGTGACACCTGGAGTGAGGTGACCCGAATGACATCTGGCCGCAGTGGGGTGGGCGTTGCCGTCACCATGGAACCCTGTCGGAAGCAAATTGATCAACAAAACTGTACCTGCTGAACCACTTGGAATACCTGAGCACTGACAACAAGACAGAAAAAGAGTCTGTGTATTGCTGCTGTCTCTGTACTAAAGAAAAAAGAAGAAAACAAACCACAAACAGAAAACACAGGGCAGAAGAGGCAGCAGCAGAAGTCACCTCTTCTTCCAGGAAGGGCAGCTGGGATGTCTTGTCAAGGATCTTGTGGAAGACCAGAACTCAGATCTACGGGCCCCTCTGTCATAGCCCTGGAGCATCCGAGCCTGCCATGGGAGGGGGACCCTCACAGGTGAGAGGCCCCACCACCAGCACCCAGAACCCCTTTCAGGGGGGACTGGCAAAGCAGGAGGTCATGTGTGTTTTCTTTGTTTCCTGCAACTTGGTGATCAATTCCAGGGGACAAGGAGAAGAAGGGACAGGTGAAGCCAAGGGGCTGAGACTCCCTCTGGAGTCGGGGCCCTGGGGACAAGCCTGTGCAGAGACGCCTCTGGGCTGTAAGCCCTGGACAGCTATTTTATTAAATAACCCTGTACCTTTCTCATGGGAATAAAGAATGGAGTAGGCAGTGTCTTGCACACAGGTCCTCAGAGGGCGGTTGGAATCCCTCAGGGAGAGGCAGCTCTTGTATTGAAATACACACAGGTCCTGATGGGGCTGGTATCTGACACCCTCTGTTGTATCTGCTTGCCATTGTACATTCTGCTTACAAAGGGCACCCTGCTCCCCCATGGGACACACAGTTTCAGTTTCAGGGCATTAGAAGCCAATGATTTAACTTCTGGTGCCACTTCTCCTGGGGCCTCCTGTGTTTTGCTTTATTTTGAGACGGGGCTCATGTAGTCCAGGATGGCCTTCAGTTCAGGCCCTGAACTCCTGACCCTGCCACCTGCCCCAGGCCCCTGAGTGCTGGGGTTACACCTGTATTCCACCATGCCTGGTTCCTGCTTCTCCTTTTTGTATCCAAGTAGAAAAATAAGATTTCTGGGACGTTGGGTATGGCTCAGTGGCTCAGAGCTAACCTGGCATGTATGACCCCCCGGGTTCCATCCCTAGCACTGTAAACTAGGCATGGTGGATCGCACCTGTAATCATAGCAGCAGGGGACAGAACAGGCAGATAAATTCAGAGTCATGCTGGAGTACATACATCACCAAGGCAAGGCCAGCCTGGCCAACCGAGACCTTGTGACACACGCCTTTAATCCCTGCACTTTGGAGGCAAGCAGATCTCTGCCAAGTTTGAGCCCAGCCTGGTCTTCAGAGTGAATTCCAGGATAGGCAGGGCTGTTATACAGAGAAACTGTCTCCAAAAAAAAGAAAAACAAAACAAAAAAGCATGTGTAACCAACCATGCTGGGCTCTTGGGAAAATTTTTAAAAGCACCAGAAGAAAGGAAACTCTGGGTCATGCTGAGCTATCTGTAGAGCTGGAAGCTACACTGGGCTACAGGAGACAAGGTCAACAAAGTGCACACCTTTGATCCCAGGAGCTGGAGATGGTTCAGCAGTTATGAGCACTTGCTGCTTTTCCAGAGGCTCAGCTTTCATTCCCAGTACTCAGGCTGGATGCCTCACAGACACTGCTGTCTCCATCTCCAGTGGCTCCCTTTCAGTAATTTCTTTAGATGTCTTCATATGCAAAGTATAGCTTGGAATGGTGGCACAAAACTGTGACCCCAGTGATGGAAAGCTGAGGCAGGAGGATTGTGACTTCAAGGCCAGCCTGGGCTACACAGCAAGATTCTCTCTCCTAGATGTGGTGGCACACACGTTTAATCCCAGTGCTGGGAAGGGGCAGGCAGATCTCTGAATTCCAGCCCAAGCTACGTGGTGAGACCATGCCACACAACACAGGAATGTCCACACATTAGGCTAGAAAGCTGGCTTCTTGGTTCTTCCCACAGATCAGAGCCTGGTTCATAACCAGAGCCGTCCGTGAGGCACCTGTCCACAAATGTATGGACAAACACACAGCTGTATATACCTAAAAAGTCTGTCAAAGAGCTGGAAATGAAGCTCGATAGAGCCCTTGCAGACAGGTGTGGCGGTGCACACCTTTGATCCCAACACTTGGGAGGCAGAAACACATGGATCTCTGTAGTTTGGGACCAGCCTGGTCTTCATAAAGAGACCTGTTTCAAAACAAGACAGCACATGCCAGCCTCTGCCCTAGAATCCTTCAGTGAGGAGCCGGGGTAAGAATGCTCATTCTGTAAGCAAGAGGATGTGAATCTGAACTCCCAGCAGCCATGCATGTGACCCCAGCACTGGAGGCAAAGATAACGCCGCCACACCAGCCAGCCTGGTTGAAATGGTAAATTTCAGAGAGATCATTGGGGAGGGAGGGAGGGAGAGAGAGAGAGAAGAAAACACCAGCATTTCTCTGTCTTCCACCTCTATAAAAATTTGAGAATTAACATAGAGGGGGGGAGAGAGAAAGAAGAAAGAGAAGTGCTGGGGGGGGGGGTGCTGTTAAGAGAACCGACTGCTCTGCACACGACCCGGGTTCAGTCCCTAGCATGTACATCACAACTACCTGGGACCCTTCAGCCCTGTGGGGTCTGATGCCTTCTGGCCTGGATAGGCTCCTGTATGCTTGTGCTACATGTGAACTCACAAAAGCACACATACATTTTAAAAAATTTTTTTAAAGAGAGAAGGGAGTGGAGAGGATTTATATGACTGGCAGGATGTCTGCAGCATGATTGGTTTGCAGGGTCTAGAAGGAAGGGAAGAGAGGGAAGCAGGAGGGAACTTCACTGTGGGCAGCCATGAGGAATCTCAGCCATGGATGTCACCTGGGTACCCTTACAGCAGTCCTGATATCTCTTACCATTTCAATTATACTTGTTTGTGTCTGGGGAAAGGCAGGGTTGCCAACACATGTGACAGTTGTGTGGATGTCAGAGGAGAACTTTCAGGACTGGGTTCTTCTGCCAAATGGGTTCTGGGTCTCAAACTCAGGGCCTAAGGCTGGCGGCAAGCCCCTCTACCCACTGAGCCCTCTCATCAGCTCCTTTCCTGGTGGCAACACAGCATGAGGACAAGGGAAACTAAAGAGAGTCCTGTGCATATCAGTGAGAGGTCCAAAAGAGTTGAGTGTCCAGCTGAGGAGATCCGCCTCCCTGTGCTGCTCCTCTCACTGGAGTGGGGTGATCTCTGCCATGGAGAGTTATGGCCCTCACTCTCAGGTCAAGGTCTCTGAGTCCGGGAAGCTGCTGGGGCTCAGGATCAGGTGCATTTGCTTGTTGTTATCTGTGAGGATGGGACTTTGGACATGTATTGGGCAGCACGCCCTGCAGCAGCTGGATCGACTAGGGGCCAGTTTTAAGCTTGCTGACTTGTTTTTTCAGTGTTAGGGCTTGAACCCGGGGTCTGTTGCACACTAAATATGTGCTCTACCCATGAACTACACCCTCAGCCCCAGAATGAGCCAGCCTGCCTTCCTGCCTTCCTTCCTTTTTTTTTTTAATTGTTTTAATGTTTTTCAAGACAGGGTTTCTTTGTGCTTTGTGTAACTCTGGCTGGCCTCAAACTCAGAGATCTGCCTGTCTCTGCCTCTGGAGGCATGTGTCACCCCTGCCTATCTCCCAGTGCGTGTGTTTGTGTGTTGGGGTCAGTGTGTCACAGCGTATGTGTGGATAGAGGTCACAGGACAGTTTGTAGGAGTTGGCTTACTTTCTACTACATTGGTCCCAGAGATAAAACTCAGGTCATCAGGATTAGCAGCACGCCCCTTTACCACAAAGCCAACTCACTCACCCTTCCCAGTCTCTCTCTTTTTCTGTCCATTTGTGTCTGCAGACACAGGTGTGTGAACGTCAGAGCTCAGGCTCAGATGTGATTCCTCGGGAATGGTCTACAGTGTTTTCTGAGATATGATCTCCTAGGACCCGGAGCTAATTGATTAGGCTGGAGTGTCTGGCCAGTACGCCTCAGGGTCCTCCTGCATAGTCCCTCAACTAGGATTACAACTGTGCAGCCATGCCTGGATATTTACTTTGGTGCTGGAATTAAATTCAGGTTTCCTTGCTTGTGCAGCAACCATTTTACTGACTGAGCATCTCACACCTTTTTTGTTTTTTCCGTATGCCCAGGCTATCCCGGAACTCTCTCTGTAGACTGGCCTTGAACTCACCTCCCTTTGCCCCCTGAGTGCTGGGTTTAAAGGATACCACCACCACCCTGCCTGGGTAAGTAGGGTGGAGAGTGATTGATGAGGTTAGCTCAGGCTGTCAAATTGAGGTCTCACAGAAAAGCACACAACCACACTGGCAAGCATCTGGGTACATCTGCACACCATGTGTGTGTACATATGCAAAAATGAGAAAGGAAACCCTAGTTGTGAGTCATGCAGTGGTGGTGCATACCTTTTAAACCTTTAATCATGGCACAAGGGAGGCAGAGGCTGGTAGGTCTCTTGAGTCGGAGGCCAGCCTGGTTGACAGAGTGAATTTTGGACAGCTAGGGCTATACAGAGAAATCCTGTCTTGGGAAAAAAAAATAATAATTTGACCAACCTAGTAGGTCCAACTGCAGGAAAGAGTTGCAGTCAAGTATGGCAGTGGGGGAGCTCTATGTCAAGCCCCAGTCTCAACCCCAGCATAGCCATAAATAAATGAATTCATCAGCCAACATGGGTGGGTGGATGAGGGTCAAACTGAAACCTCAAAGTTCATGAGGTTGACACCTCAGGTCATCAGGCTTGGCTAGAGACAGGCGTGCATCAGGGAATGCTAGGCAAAAGGCGGAAGGCATTGGCTGTCATCCAGGGGAGAGGTTGCGGTGATTCAGGTTCAGCGCGTGTGGGTAGGCACGTACTGCAGCAGAAGACTACAGAGAGCTGATTGGAGGAATGAAGCCAGTGACAGATCACCTCTCCCTGTCACTATGCTGGAGCTAAAATCCAAGGTCTTGTAGGTGCTGTGTAAGCACACTCTCCAGCCACACCCCCAACCCGTCTAGAGGGCGGGGCGGGGTTTCAAGGCAGGGACTCTATTACTGAGCTACCCCTTCAGATCCTCACTGGGGGATTCTTGCAAGGCAGGGGGTTCTACTACGGGTAGCTGAGAGCCACCCAACGTGGGTGCCTCGAATCACTCTAATCTTTTTTTTAGTCTGAGTATGTATGGCCTAGAACTCACTACACAGAACCTCAAACTCAGAGATTCACTTGCATCTGTCTCCCAAGTACCTGGGTTAAAGGCTCTAATTCATGTTTTTATTTTTATTTATTTATTTATTTATTTGGTTTTTCGAGGCAGGGTTTCTCTGTCCTGGAACTCACTCGGTAGAACAGGCTGGCCTCGAACTCAGAAATCCACCTGCCTCTGCCTCCCAAGTGCTGGGATTAAAGGCATGCGCCACCAACGCCCGGCTCCTAATTCATGTTTTTAAAGGATGGTATTCTGATGGGGTCTGCTCAGCGAAAGTTCATTCAGTAACAAACCAGCAAATTCAGGTGTCTGGTCACTTGCCAATGCCACACTGTCTATGAAGCAAGTTTACATTCGCATATGGGGGCATGCTGAGGGGAACAAAAGGGCTGGGAAACTCATGGCGGTCACGTGAGCACAGTGCCGTCGAAGAGGACCCAGGTTTGGTTTCCAGCACCCACGCCGGGCAGCAAAAGGGAAGTCAAAAAACCAACGAGAAGGGGGAAAATCAAG